GAATATATTAAACATTGCATTTAATAAGTTGTATATTTTCTACATTTGAAGTGTTTTTTTTTTTCTTTTTTTTCTTTTTTTTTTTTTTAATGTGACAACAAAAGCAATTACTTTTTTCATTAAAATACTCTTTAGTATTAGTTGATTAGAATTTTTCAGTATTTGACATATGTTATTTTATCTCATAATGCGTTAAGTGTAAGACCAAGTAATTGTTGGAGCTTATAAGAATAGAAGTTTTCAGTATGCTCAGGCTGGAATTACAGTTTTCCATCAAAAACGGAATTCTGATGAGCTTCAGCAGAAATCAAGCACTGTATATAAACAACCAATTTTTAAAATAGGACTGTTTACTAATTTACCCTATTTTTTAAAATGATAGGTTAGTATTTACAGTCAGCAATCTGATAACCGGGGGGGGGGAACACTTAAAAAAATTTGTGATAACTATTCATCTAGTTTTTTTTAAAAAAATCATTAGGGCTAACTGATTTTTAGTTGTTAGAAGTTAAATCCAGATCTGTTTAATCTGGGAACTGCTGCAGCAATACTTATTATTATTTTTAAAATTTCATTAATGTTGCATTAAAGTCTACTATTGGATTTTTTCAAAGTTCAACATAAAAAAGACATTTGTGTTTGAAATGAATTTATGTTTGGTTGGATATTCTTAGTTTTAATAAAAAAAATTGTCTTACAATAACCCATAATGCAGCATTTAATTTTCTGTATATGGAGAACATATATATGTATTATATAAGTAATTATAAGTAAATTAATAAGCCTATAACTTGTACTAAAGCTGCAAAGTAATAAAGCAATAATTTTTTAATAGAAATGTTTTTCAAATACCATCTCCAAGATGGTATTAGAAAAACTTTTTCTAATAATAATATATATTTCATCAACAAAATAATTATAAAGTGTTTGAAAAAGAAATATATATATATGCTGCTTCTTGTTATTAGCATTTTGAAGTATTGTTGTATATTTATTTGCATTATAATGGGAATATTCTATTAGATGTATTTTATTTAGTTGATGGATTTTACTACTAAAGTTAACAAAAGAAATATATTTATCTATTGTCATAGTTAAAATTTCCAGTTTTTTGTAATTCATCTGTTTTTTATTATTGTAAACATTGTATAACTATGAGGTTTGAGTAATGACAATGAACATTTAAAAGTAGATTAGATTAATCGTGTAATGCAGAAGCATGTTACATACAGAAATGTTTTTTCTATAAATGTTCAAAATTCTATCAATGTACATACTTTACATACATGACATTATCTAGAAACTGCTTTAATAAAGTTTTAAAGCTTTTTATTCAGCTATGTTTTGTTACTATTACATGACAAATTTTCACACAATAGTCGCAATTTGCTCTTGAAATTTTACTACAAATAAATCTATTTTCTTGTATGGATAATGTAAAGATGCAGAATAAGAGTTTAGTGAAGTAATTCACTAAAATTAAGTGGTTGTTTTTCAATTCATACATTAGTCTCTAATATTCAAACTTTTGGCTCCCAACATACCTGTCCTTTTTTTTTTTTTTTTTTTTTTTGCACCACTTCATTAATTACGTGTGAAATTTTTTTATCTTAAAAATAATCAAAATTAAGCTTTAAATATTGCAAAACATTAATACTATGAACTGTAATTATTTACCCAAAGTTAAATAATGCAAACATTGCACAGTGACTGATTTACAAGTAAAAAAGTTTCATATGTATTAGAATAATCTTAGTATTTAGATTGAACAGTTACAATAGTGCAACAGTTGTTTATACTAACTAGGTTCTGCTTATTGATTTCTGTCATGTAAATTATTATACTACATTAAAGCTTTAATTCTCATCGAGAGAAGACTGCTACTATTTTTGTTCCTGCAGTTTTTAGGTTACATAGCTTTTGTGACTTACTAAACACATACCAATTGTGCATTTTGGTTTAAGATGGATTGCTGTCTTTGGAGTTATTCTAAACTTGAGAGTCCAGTTAAGAGGAGTTGCTGGCTTCTGGAATATGACCTTAGCAGAAAGTACTTTCGGCATTGTGATTTCTGTAGCTGGCATATTTTTCTTCCTTTTGGTGTTCAGATTAGTATTATAGCTTTCCAGCTTAATGTGGATTTAACCCGAACTTTACTTGATACACTCTCCATTGAACAAATAACTTGTAGAAACTTCTCAGAGTTGGAATTGAAATTAACTTATTACATATATATATAACCAAAGAATGATAAAATAAATGATGAGCTTGTATGTAATGGATTTCACACAGGCTTACCAATCTTCACAATGCAAACATTTCTACTCATGAAAGTGAGCAAAAACAAATAGTTTCTCAATCACAATTAGTTTTTCCGTCTCCACTTTAAAAAATGAGTGGGAATCTCCTAAAAAAAAGTGTAAAGGAATGTCGCAGAAATTTTTTTCTTTGAGTGGCAATAATAGTACCTAACCAAAATAGGAAGGTAGGCCATGCATTAGGTTCTATGCTTTTTAACATTTATGTTAATGATACTCTGGAATTACTTGGTGCGAAAGTTAAATGCAAACAATGCTGTATTGCTTGCTAATTGTATGACATACTAATGTATGTTCGAAGTAATTATGTTATATTAATCTCTAATAATCCAACTTTTGTTAATCGACTAAGTTCATTGTAATAATTGTATACCGTGTTTTTGTAATTATATATTCAATATGAAAGTCTAGAATTAATGTAAAGTATCTCTGTAAATGTCTTGTTAGGCTGGCTTCTGATGCGGGGCAACTGAACACCCAGCGGGTACAGTAGTGCGGTGGAGCAATACCTGTAAAAGTCATCAACGAAGTTCTGGTGCTCCGTCCACTTTTCCCTGTCCCTGTATTGCTTGCCAAATCATTGAATCTTCAAAATACCATACTAAATTTGCAGTTTTCTTTTGTTGATATTGCTGTGTTTTTCTCTTCTTTCTGACACCAGTTGTTATGTTATTTTCTTCCTTCATGTTCGGTAGATTTGTAGTGAATGAACGGGGTTCGTAGATTTGTATGAATTGAACGGGGTTTGTAGATTTACAGTGAATAACGACGACACTTGATGAAGTATCGAAACGCACTTTATTTAGACAAAATTGTCAGGACAGCTCCAAAACAGGTTTTACAATCATCGAAGATCTACTATAAACACGCTGACATGATCAGCAACACAGCCTTCAGGTTATCAGGCTATCACGGTGGAGACAGCTTCCTGCAAAGCACCCGACTCCACTTGGTCGTTCTCGGAACTCCACATACTCTTGACACTCTCCATGCTACAACTCGCGATGCACTCGACGACACACAGTGCACAGCTCCTGACTCTTCGGTTCAGTCATTTCCGGAGCTCAACATGCTCTCTCGACGATACACTAACCGCGATACTCTACGAGACTCTTTCGGTGCACTCGACGAAACACTCGGCACTTGCTGGCCGGCTGTCAACGCGATTGCCTCCGCAGGAACTGACTCATTAGATGAGACATACTTGTTGGCTTTAGTTTTCCACATGCAAATTTTGATCGGAGATCAATCGGCGGTAAGCTAACGTAGTTGCCGCTGATTGGCCGATGACGTCAAGATCAGCGGGTTGGCCGAGTATTATATATATGTACGCTGGTATCGGCGATTGTTCTTGGTCTCTTGTGTGATTATCAGTTACCATTATGCTAGTTTTTCTTTCACTTAATGATTTTAAATGTAAAGGCTACAGTGTTAGCTCTTTTATTTTAATTTACAGAATAAAGCATGAATTTTATTTAGATTAGTCTTAGCTTTATTTAAGGGAAAACAAACAAAAACAAATTTTAGGCTTCCCTGCCCCATGAACTAAATCACACTACAGGTCTACTCCCCCTTTGGGCATGTCGTGGAGGTTCAACCTCCACTATTACCCACCAGAGGAGCAGCACACCACCTGGAATTCACCAGGCAGCACCGGTCGTCTAATGCTCCTACCAGTTGCATGGGCAAGGCCGTCGCAGTGGGCCGTTACCCAGCAAACTGGGGGGGGCACCAAGCCCTTCGGCTATGGTTCCACACCGCTCAGGACATGCCAGTCCCCGAGGCCGGCCAATAAATGACCTTTCCCAGGGGCTTCAGAACCACCAAGTTCATAAATTTTATCCCCCGTGGCCGAGACTGCCTAGGTACAGATCCTAGTCAGTAGCTTCGCAGAGCTCTCTACGTCGACCCCCGTGGGGGGGGGTTATTTAAGGGAAGCAAAATATGCTTTGCCTTTATCACCACTGCCAACAGGGTTATGGGTCCAGCACCAACAGCTAATCGGTCATCCAGTTCAACTCTGCATTGAAGGAATGTAGGTGAAGAGGGCCGTTATCCACGAAAAGAAGCTGACCTGTCTTAGAAGTTTATTCAAGTTGTTGTGCTCACACTTAATTGAAGATGTCATTACTACCTGAAGGTTTTGAGCTGTTAAACCATGACAACTGGGATCGATGGAAAGTCGACATGAAAATGCTGTTGCTGGATAGAAATTGTTGGAGCTTCATAGAGGACAAAGAAGAAGAATTAGATAAAAGTGCAACAAGGCATGAAAAGCAGGAGTTCACACTGAGAGAGAACAGAGCCTTCACTACATTATATTACGGAATTAAAGCTGAGTTCAGGCCGCTGATACAAGAATGTTCAAGCGGTAGCAGAGCGTGGTTTCGATCCACGGACCTCTGCTAACATTCCTGTATCAGCGGCTTGAACTCAGCTTTAATTCCGTAATATAATGTAGTAAAGGCTCTGTTCTCTCTCAGTGTGAACTCCTGCTTTTTCCTATATGCCCATGGCCCATTACTATCAGACTCATCATCAAATGGTTAAATTGATTGGAGACAGTCAGTCTGGAGGTAAATATAAGACTCGTCTAAAGCAACTTTTGCACTGGTGTGGTGATGATTTTGATGGTTGTATTGTATTTGATGAATGCCACAAGGCAAAAAATCTATGTCCAGCTGGTTCCAGTAAACCTACTAAAACTGGTTTGACTTTTTTAGAATTGCAGAATAAGCTTCCTAAAGCACGTGTTGTATATGCTAGTGCTACTGGTGCATCAGAACCCCAAAACATGGCATATATGACTAGGCTTGGTTTGTGGGGAGAAGGTACACCTTTTACAGAATTCAATGATTTTATATCTGTTGTAGAAAAAAGAGGTGTTGGAGCTATGGAATTGGTAGCTATGGATATGAAATTAAGGGGGCTGTATATGGCAAGGCAGTTAAGTTTCGCTGGTGTGACTTTCCGAATTGAAGAAATACCACTTTCTAAAGAGTTTATTGATATGCATAACGAGTCTGTAAATCTTTGGGTTGAAGCAAGAGCAAAATTTCAGGAAGCTGCAGAATTAATGGAAGGTGATCCTCGAACAAAAAAAAACTATGTGGTGTCAGTTTTGGGCATCTCATCAGAGGTTTTTTAAATACTTATGTATTGCATCTAAAGTAAAGCATGTTGTACAGTTGGCAAGAGAAGCTGCAAGTTCTGGTATATCTTTGCAATCTGATAGAAGAGTAAAAAATCAAGCTCGAAGAGTTCACATGACTTTAGAATCGCCATGGAGTGCTGATAAAGCTATTCAGCAATTTGGTAGAACACATCGATCTAATCAAGTAAATGTTCCTGAATATTTATTTCTCATTTCTGACTTAGCTGGTGAGAGAAGATTTGCATCGATTGTTGCAAAAAGACTTGAAAGTTTAGGAGCTCTCACTCATGGTGATAGAAGAGCAACTGAGAGTAGAGACTTAAGCCAATTTAATATTGATACTAAGTATGGAAGAACTGCATTAGAGACAGCAATGAGAGCAATAATGGAATATGAGCATCCACTTGTACCACCACCTTCTCATTACAAAGGAAATTTCTTTTATGATGTAAGAAAAGCTCTTGTAGGTGTTGCAATAATAACAGAAGATCCTGCAAGTGGTTACCATCTTCTTGAGAAGGACTACAATAATATGAGTAAGTTCATGAACAGGATTCTTGGTCTTCCTGTTGGATTACAAAACAGCCTTTTCAAATATTTTACAGATACTTTAGAGATTTAGGCACTGGAGGTGATTTGGTGAAACGGATAAAATATGATTCATTTCTTCAAAGATATGCAACAGGTAAAAGGGAAGCTGGTTACGGTACAGAAATTGGAAAGTTAAATAAAGTAGACGATGCAATGCTATGGCATCGGATATTTAACCACGTAAATTTTGATTATATTAAAAAAACTAGTAAGAATCAAAGCGTGAAAGGGTTACCAGAAATTGAAAAACCAATAGAGAGGTGTGAAATCGTGTATTATTGCTAAATCTAGTAGAATAACTTTTAAAACTATTCCGAAAAGATCGGATAAATCATTGCAGTTGGTTTATTTAGACATTTGTGGCCCACTACCAGTTCCATCTAAGGGTGGAAGTAAATATTTTCTTGCTATTGTAGATGACTATAGTAGATTAGTAACAGTGTATTGTATGAAAAATAAGAATGAATCGTTCTACAACTTTAAGAATTATCATAGGCAAATGGAAAAACTGACGAATAGAAAATTATTAGATGCCGAATGACATTAGACGCAGTTAAAGCTATGCTTAATGATTGTAAAAATGGGAAAAGAATGGTGGGCAGAAGTTCTTGGCTGTTTCGTACATACGTGGAACAGAGTATGTCATAAAAGCAACCGAACCCCTTATGAAATGTTCCTAAATAGAAAACCCAGTGTTGTTTATTTTAAAATATTTGGTTGTAAAGCCTATGTTGGCGTGCCAAAACAGATTAGAAATAAATTACAAATGAGGTGCAAAGAAGGAATCATGGTAGGATATGCGAAGGAAACTAGGGGTTATAGGATATGGCTGCCAGAAGAACGCAGATTAATAGAAACCTGTAATGTGAAGTTCGATGAAAAACTGTATGCAGCAAATGGCATCCTGGAACAGAAATCAAAACCTAAATTTAAAAGACTAGAGGAATCTGAGCTATTAGCAGAATCAGATGAAGAACAGGAAACTTCTAGAGAAGAAATAAAGTTGTCAGATGACAAATCTACTCCGAAAGAAGTATCAGACTTAAACTGGCAAAGAAAAGCAGTTAAAAGGCCAGATGGAACACGTACAGACATATATTATGTAGAGGGAACAGACACCCGTTTTAGATCCTATAATGATATTGAAAAGTATTGTGAGGCAAGAAATATTAAATTATGAAAAAGATAAGTTCGATTTTAGTGGAAAAAAAGAATACTCGGGGAAAGTTAATTTTGTAGAACAGGAGACTAGCTCCGTGTCTGAAGAGGCAAATTCCGTAGAAATAATTATCACCACAAAATTTTAGAGAAGCATGAAATTCAGTAAATGCCGAAGAATGGGATAAGGCAATGAAAGAAGAAATTGACACAATGAAGAAAAGAAAGGTTTGGGAATTAGTCGAAAAGCCAACTATACTCACTCGATGAGCGACGCACACTCTGACTGCGGACCAGCAGGGTTCAGACGGCTTGTGTTCGAGAACATTTTGGGCTAAACTGGTAAGAACTTGTTCCAGAAGGTTCTCCATCCGTCCATGGGATTTCTCGCCAAATTAGCAAACCATGCGTTACCTTGCCACTTTATGGCAACCCTAAAACTGCTTTGCAGGGAAGCTATCTTACCGCGCCTGTACATTTCGTAACACTACCCCCTCCCAAGGACTGCACGTCCCAGGCAGTACAACACTTGGTCAGAAGCCAAATTCGATACAAACAAAAGGTAATACAGTTAAAAGTCGTTAATTTGGACCTCAAAGCTACAAACTTTCTGCGCATGCGTCGACCTTTACGGCTGCAAATATGCATGTGCGCGTGCGCAGAATACGTTTACGAATGCGCTTTTAATATCTAATGGACAGTATAAGCTAAGCAAAAATTATCTCAGTTAATGTTGCAAATTGTGTTGTTCCTTAATCTTCAAATTGGATTCGGTTTATTATTTTTTGCAGACTGTTAGAGCAATTTTATAAAAGTAAGCTTGAACTTTCGATTATGTCAAATAGAATTTCTGATATATATTTACTAATATGTAAAGGATCTACAAAGCGAAAGTATAAGTCCATTAAACAAAAAGTGTAATTCCTGCAAAAAATGGATAAAGGCATATCCTTTGTTTATCTAAACTTTGTTTATCTTTAACGCCATGGCGTGCAATGAATTGGAAGTTGATCTGTCAGCACTATCCTTATCTTCAGGGCAGATGTTTTTATTTTATTTGGCTTATAATTCCTTACTAAATGTAGTATTTCATCTCGATGTACTCCGTCTCTGATATTATTTAAATCAAATTCCTTGTCATTATAATTCGCTTCTGATAGCGAAGAAAATGACAGAGGTTATTGAAAACGAAAAAATTTCGATTGACAAATTAGTCGGTATTCTCGACACAGCAATTATAGGACTTTAACAGCGGAACTTTGTAACTGAAGAAGAAATTATGTCTGTTTATAGAATTAAAGAGAATGTATTATCACATAAAAAAAGAAGCAACTTAAACAACTTACATTGAAAAAAACAAATAAATATTTTTTTTTTTTTTTTTTTTTTTTTGTAAATTTTGATACCCTTTAGATCATAATTGTTCTTTATTTCATAAATTACGGTTTCATATTTTGAATTTTATAATTTCTGCATGCCATCTTATCAGATTTAAATTGATGATCTATAATCTGGAATCGCCGAAGTCCCGAAGAGTCCGGATTAACGACTTTTGACTATAAAACATACAGATAACATAACTAAAGAAACAAATATGTACACTATGTACAAGTTATATGGACAAATTAGACACATCACAATTTTAAAAGAAACAAATGCTTATACAGTCAAAAGTCGTTAATCCGGACTCGTCGGGACTTCGGCGATTCCGGATTATAGATCATCAGTTTAAATCTCGTAAGGTGGCATGCAGAAATTCTAAAATTAAAAATATGAAACCTTAATTTATGAAATAAAGAACAATTATAATCTAAAGGGTATCAAAATTTACAAAAAAAAAAAAAAAAAAAAAAAAAAAAAAAAAAAAAAAAAAAACACCTTAATATTTATTTGTTTATTTTATTAAACATTTCTTTCAATGTAAGTTGTTTTAAGTTGCTTCGTTTTATGTGATAATACTTTCTCTTTAATTCTATAAACAGACACAATTTCTTGTTCAGTTACAAAGTTCCGCTGTTCAAGTCCCGTTAATTGTTGTCCCGAGAATACCGACTAACTAGTCAATCAAAAATTTTTCGTTTTCACTAACCTCTCTGTCACATTCTTCATGTCTTTATCCATTTTTTGCAGCAATTCCACTTTTTGTTTGATGGACATCGAAACATACTTTCGTTTTGTACGATCCTTTGGGAGCTCCAGAAACGGAAATTCTATTTGACATAATCGAAAGTTCAAGTTTACTTTTATAAAATTGCTCTTACAGTCTGCAAAAAATAATAAACCGGATCCAATTCGAAGATTAAGAAACAACGCAATCATCAACATTAACTGAAATAGGTAATTAGATAATTTTAGATTATACCGTCCGTTATACATAAAACGCGCACGCGAAAATGTATTCTGCGCTTGCGCAAACGCATATGCCCAGTGGTAAAAGGTCTTACGCGCACGCATAAATGCATATGCACATGTGTCAAGGCGGTGCATGCGCAGAAAGTTTTTAGCTTTGAGGTCCGGATTATAGATCATTCCGGATTATGAGTGTACGAATTAACGACTTTTGACTGTACTATGTTCAAGTTATATACACAAATTAAACACATCACAATTTTAAATTATACAATTAAAGTTCATAATGAAATTCAGTCTCAGTCTTTTCATTAAAATTATACCCGGGTCAAATACTTTTCCACTGCAGTTGTCAGATATATTTCTATTTTGTATATCACAGTCTGAAGATTCAGTCCTTTCAGAATTGTCATCCACAGAAAGATGTGAAACAGTTTGTTCACCACTCTGTAGTTCATTCGCAGCACGCATACGGTTCACCTGGGTATTTTTAGCAGCTGGTACATACTCGTTCCCCCCCACCCCGTTTCCTGGGATCCAGCTTCAAATACTGCATCAAAGTGATGAACGGAGCTTGATTCTTCACAAACATAAGTATCCAGGTTTAGAATCAAGTCCTTATCTGTAAAATCTGCACTATGAGACTCGCAAATAATTTGCGAGGTGAGTGAATTTTCTTGAACTACATGAGCACACTGCTCAAGCTCTACATCGGTTTCTCCCATCTCTGCATCACATGCACTTTCAGATGGTTCAACACCTGCTGCCTGCGACTCCGTAACTTCACTATCAGTTTCTGACCAACTCGACAGTCGCATTTTCACTTTCTCCTATCTCTACTTCAGGCACTTGAGAAATCAAAATCATCCTTCCCGTCTTTTATTTCTTCATGTTTTCGTTCTTTTTCTTTAATCCCGTTAGATGTTTCATCCTTAATTTCTTGATCTTTCTCAGACAATTCATTAGCTACTTCTTTCTTTTCTTCATCCTTTGATCCTTCAGATGCCTCTTCTGTCATTTCCACATCGTCTTTTATGCCTCCAATTTCAGCTATTGGAGTTGCTCTCGTATATTTTCTTGGCCGCCATTTATCTCTTCTAGTCCGGCTTTGATCTCAGCTGTCATCTCTTTATATCCAGCTTTTATCTCATCATATCCGGCTTTCATCTTTTCTTGGAATTCAGCAAAGGCAGTCACGAGCTGTCTTAATAGATCTTCCATTGGTCTTGTCACTGGCATTCACTCGCAAATCCCACTTCTGACACCAATTGCTACATTTTTTCTTATTCTTCTGACACCAGTTGTTACGTTATTGTCTTCCTTCCCGTTCGTACGGGGTTCGTAGATTTGGAGTGAATAACGACGACACTTGATGAAGTATCGAAACACACTTTATTTAGACAATATTGTCAGAACAGCTCCGAAACACATTTTACAATCATCGAAGATCTACTATAAACACTCTGACATGATCAGCGACACAGCCTTCAGGTTATCAGGCTATCACGGTGGAGACAGCTTCCTGCAAACACCCGACTCCACTTGGTCGTTCTCGGAACTCCACGTACTCTCGAGACTCTCCACGCTACAACTCGTGATGCACTCGACGACACACAGTGCACAGCTCCTGACTCTTCGGTTCAGTCATTTCCGGAGCTCAACATGCTCTCTCGACGATACACTAACCGCGATACTCTACGAGACTCTTTCGGTGCGCTCGGCGACCCACTCGGCACTCGCTGGCCAGCTGTCAAGGTGTTTGCCTCTGCAGGGATTGACTCGTTAGACGAGACACACTCACTCGATGAGAGATGCACACTCTGACTGCGGACCAGCAGGGTTTATATAGCTTTCGGCTTGTGTTCGAGAACATTCTGGGCTAAACGGGTAAGAACTCATTCCAGAAGGTTCTCCATTCGTCCATGGGATATCGCTAATTTTGTCGCCAAATGTGGTAACCCTGCCATTTTATGGCAACCCTAAAACTGTTTTGTGGGAAAGCTGTCTTACCGCGCCTGTACATTTCATAACAATATTATTTCTAATTGATCAGCATGGGGAATTAGGTTAAATGCAATTGATTGTGCCATACTTTTAGATTATATAAAAATCGATTAACTAATCCAAGAATTATCATTCATGGAGTAATTCTCCAGATGTTCAGTCATATAAATATTTAGGAATTTTTGGTGAAAAAGTAGCTTTAATGACCAAGTAATTTATGCTGTCAATAAAAACATTGGAGCCTTTATGGCTATTTACTGTCTCATAAAATGAAAATCCAAACCTACCTTCACGTAAAGCGAATTCTTTACCTAATCTCACCTGGCCAATTCTCACTTACGTAATTCCTGCTTGGGCAATTGCCCTCTAAACTTATTTGAAAAAATAAAATCACAAGTGTCAGAAACTCAGTTATTCATCAGGACATACTAAACATTAATGATTACATTTCATTGTATTCACACCACTTTTTAAATAAATATGCTCATTTCTATCTATTCTGAAATCACTACAATTACTAATCATAATTCTGCAGTTGACTGTATTGTCAAGAGGCCGAGAATGATGTACCATAAAATGCCAAATACAGTACAAAGTCCGTAATCTGGACTTTGGCGATTCCGGATTAGGGGTTTTCCCGTATTATAAATAATCAATTTAAATCTGGTAAGATGGCATGCAGAAATTATACAATTAAAAATATGAAACCGTAATTTATGAAATAAAGAGCAATTATGATCTAAAAGGTATCAAAATTTACAAAAAAAGCATTTATTTGTTTAATTTATTAAACATTTCTTGCAATGTAAGTTGCTTCGTTTTTTATGCTAATACTTTCTCTTTAATTCTCTCTTCTATAAACAAACATAATTTCTTGTTCAGTTACAAAGTTCCACTGTTCAAATCCTGTAATTGCTGTGTCGAGAATACCAACTAACTTGTTAATCGAAATTTTTTCATTTCCAATAACAATAACATTTTGTTTTCGTTCTCTGTCACTTTCTTCACTATTGGAAGCGCACATGTGTAAATGCTTTACTGGCTTTACGCACATGCGCAGCGGACGCATGCGTAAGTTTGTGGCTTTGAGGTCTGGATTATAGATCATTCCGGATAATGAACATCCGGATTACGGACTTTGTACTGTAGCAGTATTCATCATACTGACACCTGACTTTCATATTTATTTGCAAAGAACTTTGATCTTCAACAATGCAGTCTATACATATGTATATAGCTTCATTCTATCTTCAACTGTGAATTCAGCTTCCCATTCTATGCGTTTGAGCAGCACATTGTGCTTCACTTTTAACAAATATAAAATATAACTAAGATATATTTTTATATTTCTAAACTTTGAACTTTAAAATTTATTTAGCTATGATTTATTTGTTGACATTTATGTTCACTGTCAGTATTTAATACTTTTATAGTGATAGACTTATTCTGAGATTATTATCCTATATCTTTGAAATTATTTTATCACATCTTGATATATTTCCCTCAATAAAATTCAATTTTTTCCAAAAAAATCTGAATGTTTATAAATTCAAGAAACGTTTATATGTTCATAAATTCTTGAAAGCTGGAATTCAGATGATATTAAAATAATCTGCACAATAACAACCTCCATTCCTCCCCTTTAAACTGCATTGTAATTTATCTGCATCTGGATTGTATTCACCCTATTTTTTTTTTTTTTATTATTTGACACATAACCCCCTTTTATCATCAATCATACCTTTTACTAAGTTCAAAGTTTAGAAATATTAAAATTATATCTTAAGACCTATACTTTGATGATAAAAACTCTGTTTTCAATAATAAAACCCAATAACTGTTAGTTAAAGTCAGAAAACACTCGTAACTCATCCTCCCTTCTATATAAGCGTTACCTGCATCAAGATATAAAATTATAAGATTACAAAGCACGTAAGGCTTAAAGGAATGCCTTCATGGAGGACTTTCTAATATAAACTAGCTTATAGTGATGTTACATATAGGAAAACAGACCAAATAGATACCGAAAGCGCATCTACTAGGACCCCATTCTCATTTTAATAATAAATAACAAATCACAATATATCACTATGAAATATTTATAATTTTATTATAAATTTCTAATCAGATTTTGTAGTAATTATGGGATGGTGATTTTTACCAAATCACTGCATATAATGCAACCATTTCAGAAAATTATATAGAAATCTAAATATTATGCTGTGAATATGTGAGGGTGCATAAAATAAATTGGCATTTCAGTAAATATTATATAGACAATCCATCAGTTTAAGTGGCACAACAAAATATGCTTATCTGCAGACAATAACCCAACTGGGATTTCTTGGTTTCATGTCTCAGTCTAAAGCACATTCCTAATCATACATTCATAGCAGTAAAAGGAAGATAATGATATTTTTTCCAATAAACTGATTTTATCTTAAAATGTTAATTAATGTGAGTGTACTATTTATTTATGGCAAAATATGTATAAGCTCACTGCTTAAAGTTAGGAATATCTTCAGAGCTGACTTTATATAGGAAACTGGCTCACATTTAAGTAGCACACGAGAAGACCATTTATTAAGGAAACTGTGAAGGAAAAAAAAGTTTCTTTTTTAAAGAAATCCAACAGCACATATATAAATATAGGAGGATTATCAATATTTTTATTTACAAAAATGTACAGAAAAGCAGCTTTTACAAGGAATGTCCTATGATGCTTTTGAGAAATTCCATCTAAAAAAGAAAATGTATACATGAGCTTATGCATAAACTTTGTAAATAAATTTAAGTGTACTCTCACAATGCTATTATTTTATACAGTAAATGTAAAGTCTACAATTATGAAGTCCTGAAAACTATACTAAATTGGTAGCTATACATATTTTTGTAAAATTTGATAATGGATATATTTATTAATAGGGATGAATAAAAACAGCAGGTACACTACAAATGTATTTAATACACAAAAACATAAAATAATTAGGAAGTCAAAATATAATACATTACAGAATTTAAAATGTTCTTAGAGTTGTTGTAATAGAAAGTAGTTAACAAATATTTAAATTTGTTTATTTAAGCTAAAAGGAAATATATAATACAGTACAAAGTCTGAAATCCAGACGTCCGTTATCCGGAATGATCTAAAATTCAGACTTCAAAACCACCAACAACGTATTTCTCATAGACTTTACGCATGCGCACTTGATTCACCCCCCTCCGTGCATAATAAAATATCTGGAGAGTACCAATTTTTAATTTTACTTTGACACTAAATAAAATACCTTGTTATTGACAAAACAATCATTTTAGCATAATTTGTACCATGGCTCTGATGCTGGGTATCTGCTTGGCACACATCTCAAACTGAAACATTCCACATAGATACATCGTTGATCTGATGCCGACCCGGAGAATTATTATTTATTATACTTTCCTTTTATCACCGCATGTTTATCAAAACTGTTAAATAAATCGATATCATATGAAGAAGTAAGTCGAAAAATAAGAAACGTATCTTTTCACATTTTTTATTCAAACTTAACAACACGTGCACAACATTACAATGGCATCCATAGCTCGCACACAGAGAGAGAGACAGAGAGAGAGAACTTGGTGTTGCCAATGGTAAAGATAAATGTACCAAACTAACAAAAACATGACAACTTGAGTAATGACTCATGTAGCGATTTGATGATGATAGCTGCTAATTTTAAAGATTTTCAGATATCGCAAAACAAAGGTGAAATTTTCCATTTACAGGATTTTGTTAAGAAATCTGGAGAAGCTGTAATAAATGAAGATGATATAAAAGAAGTTTTTCATTGTGATGACAATGCTTCTCACTCATCAATCAATTAATGAATGGCGAAACCTGTAATATGGTTCAAGATCTAGAAAATACCACTGACCGATAGTGAAGAAAGTGACAGAGGAAGGTAAACTGAAAATGGAGAAAAATTTCGATTGACGAAATTAGTCGGCATTCTCGAAACAGCAACTACTACAGAACTTCAACACTGTAAACTTTCTAACTGAACAGATTAAATTACGTCTGTTTATAGAACTAATGAGAAAGTATTAACACAAAAAATGGAAGGAACTTAAACAACTTACATTGAAAAAAATATTTAATAAGGTAAACAAATAAATACATTTTTTGTTGTAAATTTTGATAGCCTTTAGATCATAAACACTTCATTATTTCATAAATCACAATTTCATATTTTTAATTTTATAATTTCTACATGCCATCTTACTAGATTTAAACATTAATTAATATCTGGTAAAATCCCAAATCCGGAATCGCTGAAGTCCTGACAAGTCCGGATTTCGGACTTTGTACTGTATTGAGTTTCTCATGTCTACAGTCAGTTTCATTATTGTAAAAAAGTATAAACAGAAAAATAAAAACAGTAAAGTGATTAAAAATGCGAATAAATAGTAAAATATATGACAAAATCAAAAGTTTTAATTCATAAAATATAAGACATATTGAAATTTTTACAGTGTAATTGTGAATGCGTTAATGCTGAGCAAAATACTCAATTCTGGGAAATTGCTATTTTCCTCATATCATTCCTACATTCATACATATGCAATCATGTTTTGAATAAAAGATTTTGAGGATACGTATTTTTGTTTACATGTATTAATTATTTTTTAAAAAAAATATACTATGCGTCATAAATAAAAAAAAAAAAAAAAAAAAAAAAAAAAAAAAAAAAAAAAAAAAAAAAAAAATCTTAAAAAAGAATATTTATAATTTGTCTATCATCTTAACTAATTAGTTTAATTTTTAGTTCAAAATGCTTTACAGTGGTACCTCAGTATATACCATTAATCTGCTCCAGATTCTTAGACATACATCAAATGAATTTTTCCAATAAAAATACAGAAAAAATAGTTAATCTATTCTTATAAAATCTCTGACTGTTATTATTATAAACACTGTTTAATATTACAATATGGGGGCAGTGGGTGACATACATACTGTACATATATGAAGTACAACAAATGATACAAAATGTTTTTCTGCTATCCAGATCTAAAGCAATTTTTCCACATCTCTGATCTTTTGGTAATTGATTTCAACCCCCTTTGCAATGTTAGCAGATTTAACTGCATCTTTGTTTTCCACAATTGTAGACACCTTTGTACTTGCTCTATGCTCTGCAATAGGCAAGTTTCAGATTCTTAATTTCAACAATCTCTCTATAATTCCAGGGTGATCCTAACAATTTTTTTTTATTGATTTACTCTTCTCAGTTTTCCTAAAATTCACTGTTGATGAATTTACAAAACATTTACGCAGAAAAACACAAAATCACTTGAAAATTCAAAGCTATAGCGAAAGGTTGTTTAACGAATACAGTCAAAAGTCGTTAATTCGGACACCCATAATCCGGAATGATCTATAATTCGGATCTATAATTCAAAGCTACAAACTTTCTTTTTGCAGACTGTTAGAGCAATTTTATAAAAGTAAGCTTGAACTTTCGATTATGTCAAATAGAATTTCCGATACATATTTACTAATATGTAAAGGATATACAAAGCGAAAGTATCTTTCGGAGTCCATTAAACAAAAAGTGGAATTGCTGCAAAAAATGGATAAAGGCATATCCTTTGTTTATCTAAACTTTAACGTTTGTTTATCTAAACTTTGGTTATCTTTAACGCCCCGGTGGCGTGCAATGAATTGGAAGTTGATCTGTCAGCACTATCCTTATCTTAAGGGCAGATGTTTTTATTTTATTTGGCTTATAATTGCTTACTCAATGTAGTATTTCATCTCGTCTTTGATATGATTTAAATCAAATGCCTCGTCATTATAATTCGCTTCCGATAGGGAAGAAAGTAACAGAGGTTATTGAAAACGAAAAAATTTCGATTGACAAATTAGTCGGTATTCTCGACACAGCAATTATAGGACTTGAACAGCGGAACTTTGTAATTGAACAAGAAATTATGTCTGTTTATAGAAATTAAAGAGAATGTATTATCACATAAAAAACGAAGCAACTTAAACAACTTACATTGAAAGAAATGTTTAATAAAGTAAACAAATAAATATTAAGCTTTTTTTTTGTAAATTTTGATACCCTTTAGATCATAATTGTTCTTTATTTCGTAAATTACGGTTTTATATTTTTAATTTTATAATTTCTGCATGCCATTTTACCAGATTTAAACTGATGATCTATAATCCGGAATCACCGAAGTCCCGACGAGTCCGGATTAACGACTTTTGACTGTAGTAGCAAAAACAGCACTGATACTCATGGGCAATTGTAGCATTGTCTGGAAAGAGGTTAGCAAGCATAACACGTGCAGCCGTGACTCATTAAATTTGACTCGTATTCTAAAGAAATATCACATACCAAGGAAAAAATTTTGCATCCAAACAAGATCTGTACAAATCTAGGCACATTTCAAAGCAGACATATACTGAGATACCACAGTATTGTAATTTTTAACTCAGAGATATCCAGGGATTGAGTCGCTGCCATAAAACTATCTACCTTATTTTGTAAAACATTATAATTGAAGGCACATGTCTACGATTAATATTTAAGGAAATAATAGCTTGTACCACATTTTTTTTTTTAATACCTGGTTTTTAACAGTAATGTAAATCCTGAACTTGCACTATATATTGTTGCTCGATACAGATTTGTAGCAAACTCTTTAAATAAGTAGGGCATGTGAAAAGGAAAACTTGAAATTTTATTTCAACTTGATTCAAAATGAAGAATAACATTTCTTACAGAAAAAAATAAACATCTTTCAACAGCTCAAGGAGAATTAAAGATAAGCAAAAATCCTTAACATGCACAGATAGCAGAATTCCTCACACAGCAAAGTTTAAAACAGTAATCACTGAAAAAGCCCAACAGTATAAAATGCAAAACCAACTGGTTCTCAGCCTCATATTCATGTCATTGTTTAGGGCAAAGGACATTTCAGGGACTTTCCAGAAAAATGAACTGGATGAAAATTAAATGCAGAACAAAATATTATAAGAAAATATATACAAACATAATAAATGGCTATGAATAAAAAAATGAAAGAAAATATACAACAAACAAACAGGAAATCCTAATAAAAAATACATTCACGAAGAAATAACTAAGTAAAAATAAACAAATTACACACAGACCACAAAGAAGGGTGAGGAATTAAATTACACACATAACTACAGATATTTACTGTATTTCTACTCAACTTTGTTTTATTTACTTTGTTGTCCAAAAACCGAGAACAGAAAATTATGTGAATAACAAATAATATAACAACATATAACAACAAATTCTTTAAAAATATTTTAATAAAAATATGCACACCTACTTCAAATAAAAAATGAACATGTATCCAATTTTCATTTCAATAATACTGTTAAGCAAGTTGGCCGACTTCCAGTGTTGACTTTCGCTATCTTCTGTGCTTTAATTTCAGACTAAAAAAGGGACTAAAATTTTAAAACAGAGCATATCACATAAGTTCATTTATAAGAACTTTAAATAAATACTTTTATATAAATCATATGCTGCAATACATTCAATTTCTGATAACTTTCAGTTTCTGTGAACTATTTCAAAAAGTTCACAGAAAAATCATGACACATTTGGGAAACTTTAGATTCTTGAATTTGGCAGCTAAAGGAAACTGTCTACTCTTTATTAAAATTAATGAAGTGACATCATCTGAGATAACATATTTTGTATTGTAGTGCAAACAAAGTTAAAGATTTTTTTTTACCAGTGTCATATCATATTTTAAATTATGGGCACCAGACAAAGAGCCTTGGGTTTGTTTTAATTATCAGAAACAGTTACGAGGTGTATTCGGAAACTAAGTACCACTTTGGAAAAAAAAAAAAAAAAAAAAGTAAAAAAATTTTTTCGAATCCAATTTTATTTTTACATGAAAATACATGTCTTAAACTATTTTTCAACATACTTTCTGCCAATGATCAAACACTTGTCATAGCGGGTGACCAGTTTTTGTATACCATCGTCAAAGAAACTTCCCGCCAGTTTCGATAACCACGACTCCACAGCATTTTTCGTGTCATCGTCAGATCCAAAGCGCTTGCCACCAAGCTCGCGCTTCATGTGCAGGAACAAGTGATAGTCGGACAGCGCCAAGTCCGGGCTGTACGGCGGGTGATCGAACTGCTCCCAATGAAACTGTCGAATTAACGATTGAGTGACACCAGCAGTATGGGGCCGAGCATTGTCATGGAGCAACACAATTCCTTTACTGAGCATTCCTCTTCGTTTGTTTTGAATGGCACGCCTTAGTTTTGTTAAAGTCTCACAATATCGTGCCGCATTAATGGTTTTCACCTCTGGGAAGAAATTCAGTAAGCAAAACGCCTTTCCTATCCCAGAAGACAGTGCACATGATTTTTTGTGATGACATTGTCACTTTGAACTTTTGTTTTTTTCGGAGAATGAGTGTGTCTCCACTCCATCGATTGTTTCGATTCTGGTGTGAAATGACACACCCAAGTTTCATCACCTGTCACAATTTGGTTTAAAAAGTTTTCTCCCTCATCACTGTACCGCGTGAGAAATGTCAGGGCACTACCAAGTCGCTTTGTTTTGTGAACATCAGTGAGCATTTTTGGAACCCATCGGGAACACCGAACAAAACAGTACGTGAAATTTGTGGAAATGCCTCTGAAAGAGTTGTCATTGTGAAGCGTCTGTTCTCATGAATTGCTTCATCAACTTTCCTTACCAAATCATCGGTGACAACAGAAGGCCGACCACTCCGAGCCTCGGCGTGGACATTTGTTCGACCTGCATTAAACATTCTTACCCACTTTCTCACCATTCCATCACTTATCGCGTATTCACCGTAAACTTCTGTCACTTGACGATAAATTTCGGCCGGTTTAACATTCTTCGCGTTCAAAAATTTAATCACGGCATGAATCTCACAGTCAGCGGGAGAACTAATTGTCTTAAACATTTTGAATGTGCACAGCAAACTGAAAACACAACATAGAGCAACCAAAATGGTGACAATTGAAAGTCAGTGAACAAGAAAGACTAGTGCGCATGCGCGGGACGCCTACCACAGCGCTGCGACGGTGCTAGAATGAACGGTACTTAGTTTCCGAATACGCTACGTATTTGTCATTCCATAGGCACCTTACATGTCATATTGTGATGTTGTTACTCGCTTTTACCAATCTGATATGGCAGGTGTTAATATTTTCAGACAATTCAAGCAATCACAAATGATGTCTATGATAGAGGATAATAATAAATGATGTCTATATGATATTACATTTATGATAATCATAAATGATGTCAATACCAAAAGAGGCATTTTCCAGTGCTTCTAGGAATAATGGAAACTTCAAGCATGTGTGTATTCTGGATCCTACTTTGAGAGTGAATGGGTAATAATTATTTTACAATTAAAATAAAAATTCTTTACAGGCGCTTTTCACAAACATTTCATCATTAAAAAAAATCTGGCAACTTTTGTTTTTTGGATATAGGATAGATATGGGGGTCACAATGGCGATTTTTGGGAAGAAAGGTGGTACTAAAGTAAAGTGACCACATTTTCATCAAGACAAAACAGGACAAATGGAATGAAATGAAAATTGTAATTTAGTTATGAAAGCAGACCAATAATACAAAAAAATGTACTTTATTGTATGCATTTATTTACTTATCTATAAATATACAAAAATATATTTATTATTAACTATTGGTAACTATAAAAATATTTGTAAAAACTATAATTTGAATTACGTTTTTTAATTAATTAAAAAAAAATTATGGTTTTCTTTCATGGTCATATTTTTTATCTGAGTGAATACTTTGCAACAGATTCGGATCATTTATTAAAATGTCATGAAATTTCTCAAATGAACTGTCAAATTATATTTTAAGCTTAATACACATTTTAAGGTTTTAATGTTCAACTGTGTTTTTTCAATTGTCCATATTTTATTGATACTAGAAAAAAACACGTTCTATTGCTGCATTTGTTCCTGGATGGGAGAATGCATGTTCTACAATTTTCAAAATATTTTCATAAGGAATATTATTCTGTTTAAAATGAAGGAGTAACTCCATCCATTTTTTGTCTGTTTCCACATTTGCAGACAACGGACATCTAATTTTTTCTTCAGTAACGTATATTTTTAAAATGACACCTCATCAAAAAGATCATTTTTGCAAATATTACTTTTCGGAAAATGGTTACTAATATATTAAAAAGATTTTTCCACATATTCCCATAAAATCTTTTTTAATATCATCCAATGAAAATTTTTAATATCCTCGAATTGAACTGTCTGTTCTTCAAGATATTCCAACAAGTTATTATAAAAATTTCTGACTTCTTTCGGAAAATCAGGTCGTTTAATGACACCTTGTTCTTCCAACCTAGTGATGTCCTTTCGAATAACTAAAGGAACATAATCGTTATCATTTCTTTCTCACAATTTTGTTTTTAAATTATTGATTTCATTTGACACATCCATAATTGAAATTTTGTCCTCTTCAATAATTTTCACAGCATTGTGAAATAAATGTACCTTGGTTGTGGATGAACTGATGCCAAATTTGTGATGTGTCATTTTCAATAAAGAGCTGCAATATTCTTGGACATTTATCTTGTGATAAAAACTATAATTTTAATGGTTCGTATATTTTTAAAATATTTTCTACAGCTGGTAAAAGAGCTAGCCATTGTGTTTTGCTGTAACCAATAACTCTTTTATATTCGATTTCTGTGCTTTCACAAAAATCCTTCAAACTTTCAACACGTACAGTGTATATATATAAAAATACAAATAAATTTTTGCATTAATCTTTTCAAGATCCACTGGAAGTCAGATGCTGTTTGAATAGTACTGTGTAGAATGTGCGCTGCACAAGCTACCCCAACAATTTATTGGTTCAAATGTTCGTTAAGTTTTGTAAAAATGTTGTTGATGCCTCTTCTATTTTTCCGCAAAAATTTGCATTAATGTTATCCTCACAATAGGCAATAATTTTATTGTTCAAATTATTATTTTTTAAAATAGTACTTATTGAGTCAAAAATTATTTGTGAAGTTTCACCCGGCAATGAAACAAAATCTAATATTCTAATTTTAATTCCTGTTTCTGGATCAAAAAGTCTAACAGTTGTGGGAAATAATATTAAATCTTTGTGGTTGGAAGCATCATAATATATGGATATAAGTGTGCATTTAATCTAATTATTTCGCAATTGTGAAAACGAATATAGTGAAAAAACATTACAAATAATTGCTTTGGTTTTTGTCCTTGCACATGCAAATTTTTGTCATACAATGTTTTGATCATTTGTGACATACAATAAATTGATCTGAATTTGATTGTGGTTTACAGTGTGGAAAGCAAATAGCCCTTCAGCTAATGCTAGCTGTTCCTCCATTAACAATACATATTCCTTGATGAGACGTAACGTTAATGATCGAACACCACCGAGTAAATCTAATTCATTACATCGCCTAATTTAGTTTACTCTGCATGCAATTTATGTGTTTTTTTGTTTATGTATGTTATTTTTTATTTCTTTATATTTAAGTTTCTTTATATTAATAATTATTTATGTTCTTTATAATTAATAAATAATAGGTAATATATTTTTACAGTACATTTAAAATAAGAAATGCAGATATTTTCTAAAAAGGCGGGACATTTTTAAAAATCGGTGAGATGCGGGACAGTCCTCCAAAAAGCGGGACTGCCCCGCCAAAATCGGAACTTGAGGTCACTTTATACTAAAGTAAATTCAGCAGAGATCACGATTCTCTAACAGGAATTTGAGGATGGATGAAATATTGTTTTTAACATCAACTTACCAGAGAGACAAAAATTACAGCTACTCAAAAGAATATTTTTTAGCTTTGAATACATTAGTGGATTGGAGGAGGTTTTTTAATGAAACCATTTTAGATTATACAGAGTTAACATTGGAAAAAATAGGTGGTATTATGAAGTGGAAATAAATGAAAGTAAATTTGGAAAATGTAGATATATAAGGTGTGAGGCATGTAGTTGAGAGGCAGCAGGCTTTCAAGGAGTTAAGAGAGAACTTGGTTAGCTGTTTTTGGTATTAGTTCACAACAAGAATGATAGCACATTACTAGACATTATTAAGAAGTAGATTAAGCCATGAACTCCAGGTTATTCAAACAGTCAAAAAAGCTTTGACTGCTTAAGGTTTGCTGAAGGTTTTGATCATTTAAAGGTTATTCACAACACAAATTTTGTTGAATCAGATACAAGATGCCATACAAATATAATAATGAAGCATATGTAAGTGAGTACGTGAAGCACATGAAATGCTCCTTGTCAACAGATTTGCACTGACAAACAGATTTAAAATTTTAATAGGCCTTCCACATTTTCACAAAATCCTGATGGTTTAACAAAAAAAATTTCAAGAAATTATAAGGGATGTAAATTGGGAAGAATTAAGACTTTCTTTGTAAATGTATCAGCAATTTTTTAGTTTTCCTTAATTGCCAGTATTTCACAATTAAAAATAATTAAAGGTTATAAAGCCCAGATATATTTCAACACTAATTAATAAATACTGAAAAGATATAAACTCACCTCAGATACATCCAAGTACCATACTTTTATGTATCCATCACTAGAAGTACTAACTAAAAATGTTTCTGAATTTACAGAAACACATTCTAATGCTTTAACTCTAAAATAAAAACAATATATAAAATTTATATACTATATATAATTTACATTAAAAATATAAAAAATCCTGCAATGTAAATTAAAAATTACATGCTAGATTTTGATTAAATTTTACATGTGATTACATAATATCTAAAACATAAAATAACTAATCACTTTTTTAACTAACAGTAAAACTGATTAATTATTTTATGCAATTATGATAAGAATGACAACATACATAACTTTCATTGTTTTAAATGTCTTCTACATTTAGGGGGTGAAACATTTTAAAATAGGGGAAAAATAATAAAGGGGAGTTTGTTTTTGGTATAAAATACATCTATACATTTAGAAAGCTGTACTTTTATAGAACTTTATACAGCTTTTATAAAAAGCATCTATACATTTAGAAAGCTGTATATGTTAAATGAGTAAATTTATTAGTAAGCGACTATTTTAAAAGTCCACTCCTTGAATCTTGTTGCAAAATCATATATAATGAAAGAGGAATTCAGCATTTAAAGCTATATTTCTATTTATATTAAAAAGGAAATTTATTAATAAACTTAACAAAAATTAAAAAACTACCCCAATATTTTTCTAACTTAAATATGAATACCAGCATTTTTTGAATTTTTATTTAAATACAAAATCTAAACAACCAAGAGTGAAATTTTTTTTATTTATATTAACACTGGTTTCTATAACAAGAAAGACAGTAAGTATTTAGCAGCTGTGATTTTATAAAAAATGAAATAAAATTTTTATAATATCCAAAAAATAAAAATATTATCAAATGTAAAAATCTCTGATATAAATATTTTTACATTTTTGGTAGCATAATTAAAAAAAATTCTTAATGTAGAAATAATTTAAAATTTAAAAGTTTATGACCCTGATAATTTTACAGACTGCAATAACAGTTGTTATCTATCATATTATTATATACAGGTATTACTTAACAAAAGATTTAAGAACATCCATTTGCAAAATTCAGGTGTACAGATAATTAAATTGAATCGAGAGAGCTAAACATGTATAGCTGATCCAGTCATACTTCATCACGTGCACACTAGATAGCAACACAATTAGTTCCTGAAATCATAACACCATCACAAAGATTACAATTAAAAAATAATTCTCTTTTAAAAAAATTAGTGCATTTAGTATTAAAATTTATTATTATTATTTTTTTATACTAAAATTCTACATTTCAATGAAATGTTAATAAGCAATGCAGGAAAAAAATACGTTTTTACACACAATTATAATAATTCATATTGCAGAAGATGTGGAATTACACAGAATGTCTGTAAAAAGGTGGAGTAATTAAGAGTTTATTTGAGTGTGCTATAAAATTAATAACTACTGTTCATACAATAAAGAAAACCGACTGGCTAAAACTAAAACTTATGTTTTGCAGTTGCTCACTAAATTTAATTATGCAGATCATAATAAGCACTGAAAATTATTTCATTCATTTTTGAATATTAGTACAAATTTTTCATTCAAATGTACAAAACATTTAATGGTTAAAGCATAATGAACATTTGTCAGCTGGACATTTTTGCACTACAAGGCCCAGATAAAAAGTCTTTCTTCAAGCAGTAATGAAACACTCACATAACATTTCCTATTATGAAAAGTTTTGTTAAGGTTATAAAACATGCAGCCACATTTTAATATATTCTATAACAGGAGTTCTGAGACTTTTTTTGCGCCACGCACCCCTTTTAACATTGCTAGAAGATGATTCCCTCCTCATTCTTTCTAAAGTTTGAAAAATAAATAAATAAATTAGATATACATACCTAGATTTATATGATTTTTCAATGCATTTTATAAATTAAACAACAAAAAGTGTAGAAAATGTTAATAAATACCAAAATGTGAATAACAGTACATTTTATATTCATAAACTAAAACTAAATACTTAATAGATAAATAAAAGGCTGACTGCATTCCTTCCCTTCACCCCTGGTTAAGAAACCCTGCTCTAGAACATTATTTTCCAACTGCTCTCAAATTCCAGATTATATACAGGTATTACTCAAATTCCAAACTGAATTTTTAATTTTATGCTTCTTTGCTGTACTCAATACCAGTTGATTATTCTAATTTTCAGAAACTTGTAGACTTCAGATAAAGGTTTCTGTAAATGTCTTACTATTTAAATGGTATCTGAATATATACAATTACCTGCTCTTATGAGCATTGAATGTATGAATTAATTCTCCAGATTTCACATCATAAAAACGGATATCCTCGCTTTCTCCTCCCACGGCAATTATTTCATCCTAGAAAAGCATAAAAACATTTTAACATAAGAAACTTGAAATACAGTATTGAATATAATATAAACAAGCTCTAATACAAAGTCCGAAATTTGTAATGATTTAATATCTGTCCTCTAGACCCCCCCCCAAAAAAAAAAAAAAAAAACCACACACTCACACTTCTTACAAACATTAGGAATGGTGAATATAACTACAAAGAGGCAGCAGGTGTGGAAAAAATATGATTTTTCTCCGCACTAACTGAGATTTCTGGATGTTATTTTTCACACTTCTGCTCGCTGGGGAATCACCGCTGTGGTCAATAACAGTGCATTGATTGAGGATGGCCAGAATAAAACTTTCAGCCCTTGTGTGGTTGTAGGGGGTGATGTCTCTGATGCAATCTCTGCAGCTTCATACCTCCCTAAAAATAGGAAAATTTATAGACAGCAACAAATGCCTTTCCTAATTGCCAAAGTCCTGATGATTCTGTATCTCAGACTGTACCGTATTGGCTATAATCAACAGATTTTCACATCTCAGACTTTTCAATATTTTCTGTCTGTCGCATAATTCCATGCTCTATGATACATATACACACAATTACATAATCTCCCAAATCATATAATTGATTAGAAGACACTTTTTTTAAAAAAATTATTACTCTAAGAAAAAATATAGATGCACACAGCCATGTTTTCATTTTGCATCATCTGCTTGCCACAGAGGCCAATGAGTTAATGTTCATTGACAGGTTAGAGGGAGGTTCTTGATATTTAAAAATGCTTCAGGAAGCAACACACCCTTCTCTTGAATGACTTTTACAAAGTATAGACTGGATAGATCATTAATAATTAATTGAATTATTTATTATGATATAAGAAAAAATAATTTTTTGCAATTAACAAAATATTCGAACGTGTTCAGATACACAACATTGGACGGTAAGTAAATCAGTGTGATTATTTAGGAAAGTACTGAATTTTAATTGAACCTTCTGTAGCATGCAATACTGAACTAAATTTACTGGCTCCCAAGTGTTCATACACTTATGAGTTTAAATGAAATATTGCTTTATTCACTAATAAAAAATAATATTTGAGAATGAGAATATTTTAATAATGAATTTCTTTTAGCAAATATGCTTTAGTTATTTTATGAACATAGCAAATTTTTTTGGGGGGGGCGGGGAATAATCAAAAAATAACACAGAAGTTACTTCACAAAAGTCTTCGCACACGTTAAAAAAATCTGCACATAATAGTAAACATTACAATATTTTTGTTAGTTAGTATTTTATGGGATATCTTGCAGCATTTATGACAGCTTTCACACATATAGGCATAGAGGTCACCAGCTTTTTTTTTTTTTTTTTTCCCCGGTAATATCTGCATCAATGTTCCTACATTATTCTAGTTTTTAGTTTGTTTTTATGTTGTGTCTTCATACTCTAATTCTCTCTAAACACATTTTATCGAGTTTTAATCTAGTAACTGAGGTGGTGTTTTCAGAACTTGTGGACATTATAGACACACCAGAGGTGAATAATAAGGGCCGTGTGCTTAGGATCATTATCCTGGCAAAAAATATAGTTGTTTCCAATACCTAAATTTTAGGTGGATAATTTTAGATTGCATTTTAAAATATTTAAATAAAGAGCATAGTTCATTATGCCATCAATAAATACTCAATAACCTAATCCTGATGCTGACATGTACCTCCACACAAGGACTCCTTTACTGCCATGCTTTACTGTTTCAACCAAGCTCTTGGGATTATGTTCCTCATTTTTATAATTATATATCCATCAGAACAAAAAATGTTAAATTTGGTTTCATCTGCAAATAAAAAATGGTTCCAATATGCTTTGGGCTTATTTACCATTGATTTTGAAAATGAAAGAATAAGCTTTCTATTTTCTGTACTCGCAAAAATTTTTCTTCGAGCAGAGCGTCCATGTAATCCAGCTGATCTGAGTACTTTTTGAATTTCAGGTGAAACTGAGAAAATTTTTCAGTAAATTCGATAGAAATTCAATAGTTTACAGAACTCAAATGTGGATTTTTCACAAATTTTCTAACTATAAATATCTAATCACCTTGAGTTAACTTTGCCGGATAACCTCTTCTTACTTTATTTTTGATCTAATTATCTTCTTTAAAGCATTTTATTACATACTGCACCATACAATTGGATAAATTTAACATTTTAGCGATATCTAGATCGATTTTCCCCCTTATGATAAAAAATTAATACTTTTCGAATGATACTGTAGTTTCATCCCAACTATGACCCATTTTTAAACTTTAAATAAAATACAACAAAGTAAGCAAGCAAAGAATAAAGCCAGGCAAGTTTTTAAACATCATCCAAATGCAAAAATTAAAAAAAAAAGTGGCAGATGATAACTTTATTTATGAAATTAAAAAAAAATGTTTCAGGTACAATCACTTTTGAGGCGTGTTTTACCTATGCTTCCTTATATTTTTCAGTTTTAGAAAAAGAAAATAAATCAGAATTAAAACAACGAAAAAAAATTCAGCTTCATTCAAAATCATATGGAGATCATATGAAAAAATATTGGGCTTTGTATTCAAATTCAGTTCTGGGCTACAACACGTTTGTATATTTCTATGAGAAGGTCCATAGTGATGAAACTAAAAAATGTTCAAGCCACTCTCCCTCAGCAACAGAGAAGGCTACACAGGAGTCACAAACTACTGTATTTATTTGATTAAGAGCTGATATTGATTGAAGGCAACCCAGAGAAATCAACAATGAAAATAAAAATAAATTTAATTAAAAAATTAATTTACACTATTTAATTGTTTAGTTGTTGTCATATGATGTACCAAAGTTGTTGTTTTTGTCTCTGTATAAAGCATCATCTTCTGTGCCCTCAACTGTACTCGAGACTTTTGATTACATCAGGAAAGGGTGTGACTACTTTACTACCATATTGATACCAATTCTGAGATACTTTTGGCCTCCTCCCCCCTTCACAAAAAGGTCTGGCTTACAATCAGATAAATAGAATATTGAAATTACTATAAAACATATAATTTATTAGGATATGAATAACACTGACTAAAACAGCTGATCATTGCATAGAAGTTTCATGTTACTCAACCAGATGGTAGACGATATATCAGTATTTAACTCATCATTCATGGTCAGCAGAAAATTAGGAAAAATACATGTGGATCAGCAAATCAAGTTCCAAAATTTTCCAGATAAATAAAATATTCTTGAGTATAGAATGCCTTTTTTTTTTTTTTTTTTTTTTTTTACTAACTGTGAAGTCTATGATCTGAGCTTTCTGCTGGAAATGCCTCAGTTGTTTAATAACTTTATATTCATTTACAAGCTCTGGATGGAATACTACATTCTACACTGAAATTTCTCAAAGTGGACAAAAACATTTCAAGCATTAACCATATAAAAATCTGAATGGAAGTTGCAGACTTGAAGGGAGCAGCAAAATGATTTTATAATAATAATATTATAACATAACCATAGCTACTACTACGCTTTTCAGAGAAAGAAATGTGAATTGTTTCCTGACCAGTAGTGTAGTATTTTCATTAAATAAATGCAGTATTTTCCCTTGTGCCAATGGCTCTTGGTTGCACTCCAAATTTATATCTTTATTTAAAGTTACATACTTCATCTCAGGTTCTCAGAGTGGAGATAATAACGAGCCAAATATTCAAAACCATGTTCTTGGAAGCTGATTATCGTTTTGTTGCCTGGATATATTAACTAAAAAACATGTTATGCATTAAATATATTAAAATTACATATATTTAGCTTTCCAACAAAGTAAAAATTAAGCTATTAATGTTTCATCTTTTCCCACAGGCAGTTTTGAGGGAAGAGAAGCACTTGGAGGTAATCTTATACACCAACACATATTTCAGTTCAAGTATATAGAGTGAATAAAAACGAGCCCAATGTTATGGAAAAAACCTAAATGATAACTTATAACTATGACTGTCATTTTTTACTGACAGTACCTTACATAAATTCAAAGCTGATCAAATTCTTTATGGCCAGCCATCAACACAGGTATATTGACACATTAATTATATAAAACATTTTAGCACTTTGCCTTAGAAGTTACAGATAAATTTCAAAATTGTGTGTACAAAATGTACTTCTTCTTCCTAAAAGCAACAAAAATTTTGATGATATAATGAAATTTAGCATTTTATAATCAATTTTAGTACATTGATATGCAGTTTATTTGAATAATAAATACGAGCACAATCTTACCTTTATAAAGGTTAAGTCACATATTTTCTGTTTGAAGTCGATAGTCTGCACTACAGCAGCACTCTGCACAAAAAATAAAAATCTAATTATATGCAAAATAAAACTAATGCAAGTGATATATGTAGCACATAAATGAAAAATAAAAATGGGTAATAAGAAAAATGTTTTATAATATTAATGCAGATACTATAAACTGACTCCAAGGAAACCAACAAATGCCATAGATCTATGCCAATTATCAATGGTTTCTTACAGGTAGTTTTACTTGGTGAATCATTCTTTCATAGTTCCAGATTAAACAAATATTCACTACAAACTTAAAATATCACTATATAAAGTAATTAAAAAAAGATTAAAATTACTTTGCATATTTAGTCTAAAGAAACTATTTATGATAGAACACGAAAGTTTTAAATGAACAGAAGGAATATCAAAGTTTATTATGCAAAGCAGTCAGCTGGAAGTTGCTACTGTATATAAAATTCAGGTGCAAAAGCAATGATATTTATTGCTTTTAAATTATAAAATGAATTTTTATCACATACAGATTTTGTTAAAACTTCATCACTAATCATCATCATGCCTACTTTCATTACGTTGTCACTCACAGGGATTGACAGTACCTCAAACTTTGAGTACATTTTAATTATATGATGGTGGATTTTATTTTTTATAAGCATATTTTATTAAATTAAGAATTTCCTGCTTTAAAGAATCTGAAATTTAACACAAAATCTATTAGACTTATCTGCACCCCTATCAAAAAGTCGTGAATATGGTGACTTAGGAGAGAAGCATTTGTTCAGATACTTCCATATCTGTTTCAATGATATATCAAGAGTTGCCTATTATTTGCATTCTTCTTTTTCCATATAATAAACACAGACCTCTTGTTTTTTGGCACTATTGTTCTCCCAACAAATAGAGAGACTTGTTTTTGCTTAAAAAAAAAAAAAAAAAAAAAAAAAAAAAAAAAAAAAAAGAGAGAATTTCATGAGCTTGTCATCATGAACAAACTCAGCACCAAAATCTAAAATGAGAAAGAAAAAAAGAGGTGCTTGATGTTTTTAAGCGAGCCACATTACATTCTATGCAAGCTGAAAACTAAATCCAAGATATCATCAAAAACTGCAGTATATGGTCCACTGCAATGTTAAAACATTGAAATTTTGATAGGAGGGATTACAATCTGCAGTTACACTGCAAAGAATATCTAGAGAAATGGAAATTTGTCTGGGGGATGCTACATGCATACCTGAGTTGCCTTATAAATACTTTTTGATGATATAGTGTACTGCCTCATCAATATTTTTCGGCGACATTTTAGTCGGGGTGTGGATAGTCACAAAGTACCAACTAATGCTTTCGGTTTTATTTGATTATGACAAAATATACAAGGGAGATCCATCTACAAGGAAGCGAAGCCTTTACGATGGACTTTCTAAGGGAGATGAGCTCTTATACGTTACACATGGGAGAAAAACATGAAAATGCCAAAGCAGCCACCTCATTCACTGGGATTTGAACACAGATTAACAACTTGTAATCAGCGAGCTTACTGCTCAGCCACTGGTCGGTCTACCAATTAATGAAACTAATTGATAGCAATGATGGTGTGTTTAACCTGAATGGAGATTTAATAATAGAACATGCAGAGTGAACAATATATAAAAGAAATGATAAACACCATATATTAACATCTTAATGTTGCTTATGTCCATCAGATTAGCATGTCTTCAATTTCTAAGCCTGTTAGTTGAAATGTGGGAAGCTAGATTTTTACCCGTCATGTTCTATGACTGAGGTGAATGGCTCTTGAAATATGGCTGATTTTTTTAACACAATTTTTTGCAAGTAATCAAAAGCTTCTGCCAAACTGCTCTGAACTTGCCTGGTGTTTCCCAGGTACAATTGTCTTCAATCATTACATAAACTAACTTTGAATTTCTTTTGGTTACTTAAAAATGGATACTAGTTAAGACTTTTTAAAAAAATTTTAAAAGCAAACTGAACTTAAAGGAAATGCTCATCAAAGTGAGGCTCATCAGTTGTTAGTTAAAACAGTTATCTTATCATTTTGCCTACATCATCAGTGCTACATTGTCCATTCCCTCTAGGGTACAAATTAGTTCATAAATGTTGAGTTTTTGAGTTTAGGAGACAGTCTTTCGCAGATACTGCTGACCAGTAATACCTCTCTGCTGTTGAACTCATTTATTGACTCATTCATCATATATCTGAATTTGTATCATAAGTATTTAGGCACAAGCCAAAACTTATTTAGGTACATGTTACTTAGTATTTAATACTTTAATATGACCAGAACATTTGTTCTACATTTTGGTCAAGTACAGGCTAGCAAGTTTTTATCACTGTTGTTGAACCATCAGGGTAGCATGTTAATAAACAAGTTAACAACAACAACAAAAAAAAAAAAAAAAAAAAAAAAAAATCTTAGTACGTGTTTTCTGTATTTAAAAGGCCTGATAGGTCGTCTTCTTCATCTTTATGGTTCCAGGAGTTAGCAGTTAAAGCAGAGGTCTAAACATATACAGTAACCAAGTGGATAATACTGTCGAATACTAGTAATTCAGCCAGCGTTACTAGCATTTAGTGACTCCAGCAAACAGACTACAGAAGCATTTTTAAGATTTTTCCATCAATGTGAATATGAGCCAGCTTTCCTTACAAAATCCTTTATTAAAGCATCCCTTATCTATATCTAATCTACCCAATTATAAAATGAGTTTGCAATCTTTTCTGATTTATTATTAACTTAGTAACTAAAAATAAAATGGAATACAATAGAATAAATAAACAAATAAAAAAAAAGTACATATATAAATCCATACACACTTTAGAGCTAAAATCTGAAAAATACTATTTTTCTTCTTACAGCTCATTTAGCTTATTATTTATTTTACTAACATAACAGAATTACTAATAGCAGTTTTAGAATTAAATTCATAAAAAGTATTTACCTCCACAGAGTAGACATCAATTGCATTGCGGAATGCTACCAAAAAATGAGATCCATCAGGAGACCACCGCACTAATTCTGCAACTATAATTCATCTCTTTAACACATTATTATTTAATTTACAAATTTCAAAAACTGAAAAAATTAATAAAAACTATAATTACCTTTCTTAATATTAGTAATATATGCTGATCGTCCCTTGATCAAATTCCATGTTCTCAATGTTTTGTCTTTGGAAACAGACAATGCCAGCTTGCCAGATGGATGAATAGAAATAGAATTGACAGCATATCTAGACAAAATATAGAAAACAATTTTGTTCCAGTGAACCACTTTAAATTTTTTTTATGTTATCTGACAAGATACTTATGGGTTACCTGAAATCTAGAGCTACAGTAGGCACTAAAAATAAAAATCATTTGCAAATAAATGTCTTTCTGCCAATTACAAGCACATCACTACACTTTGTATAGAACAAGAATAACAGGGATTACTCTTAAATCTTAATAGTGAAGTTTCATATAAAGTACGAAGTTAGATGTCCAGAAATAATGAGATTTAAACGCAGAGCAATGGATGAATATCATACTGCTCAATGAACTCCATCTCCCACCCAGAGAGAATTATACTGAAAAAGATACAGTACTTAATCAGAGATAATAAAAAGAAATCGACCAGATCATCACTGAAATTATTTTATTCAAACCAAAGTAACAAATACTGAGATCACTGCTGTAGTTTTCTTGGCACCTACCATATCTCCTGGCATTAGATAAGACATAAGTACCTTGATCAATTATTAAAAAAGATACAAAAAAGTATGAAATATTAATATTTTAAAACAGCCATAGGGATATGCATGGGCTATATTAATTTCTATAATATGCAATTTAAAAAAAAATCCTTTAATAAATCATCAGCCTTCTTAATTATTCAAATCATTCTTTAGGATTCCTATGTAGAAATCTAATAACATGCCAGTGCTAATGTCATTTATTTTTAAGTGCTTTGTATGAGAGTTATTTGATATGGTGTCAATGCGGATTTCAACTTTTCCGAGATCCGACAATGGTAACTTATCTGATCGAAAATAGTACCGAAAAAGAAAAATAACTTTATGAACTAGAATGAACACTATCAGCAAACACATAAGTATTTAAATGTAAATATTTGATGTAGATAACACATAATTTCACGTATCCTATTTCAAACATTTTTTGCCATATTGGGTTAGCATAGTTCAGTTGTTGATATTTATTGGGTATCCAGCTAATACCTCCGCGAAGGAAAATAAGCCTATGTAATGGCTTTCTAAGAGAGCTAGTTGTATTTACGTAGCTGAGGGAAACTTGAAACTCCGTGCAGCCCCCTCTTTCTTAGTTGTCAACGCTCAGAAATGTTATTAAATAAATTAACTTTTAAAGATTTTCTCCCTACTTTCCCGTCCTGTGGGTAAGGGAACTACACCGACGCGTATTCGGGAGGACAGAAGTTCGAGTCCTGAAGAATGGATTATGGATTTCTTCACTCTTCTGACTCTAAACAGTTTCTAATGTTAAACAATGTTCATCTTTTTCTTATTATTTTTCTTAACTTAAGGAAATAATTTAAATAACATAAATTAATGAATTACGAAGTCTATTGTTACATAATACATCTAGTTACACTTGAAAATGTGTTGAGGGGATCATCACCTGTACCGACAATGTTATATTGGCATTTCTATGTACCTTTCTCAAAATTGCTGCCGTATGCGTTGAAATTTTTTGGGAACCAAAGCATACCTATCTTATTAACGGAAACCAGCTTTGAAACTTTGAATTTTGGTAGTTTAAATAATATTTTGCTAGGGTAGTAAATTCAGCATTCTCATCAAAATTTATTTTAATTTTTTTCCCTAGTTTATCACAAAAGCTATTTTAAAATATTAGGAAACAATAGTAAGCATAAAATTTTGGATATCTGGTGGCAGATTCCTGAGAAAAGGTACTCGAGTTACAAAAATCCGTTGGAGAAAACGCTTTTCATGTAAAAATCCCATTTTTCGATGAAAATTAAACTATTTTTACAGTTCTAATTTTCATAGAGATAAAAATGGTATTTTAGAAAGCTAAATGCAGAGAATTGAAAATAAAAAATCCGAAATATCATTTTTGAAGATTTTTGGGTTCCAACACCCCTGAATGGTACGGTTCTCGGATCAGTTGTTTCTTCATGCGGATTACTCCAAAACGTCTCATCATTTCTACTGTTCTACTGTGACATCTGAACTAAAATATGAAAGACAATTACTCTTCACCTCTTGGCTTTAGTCGACTGGTTCTCTTGCCTCTTCACTGTGCTCTTAAAGTGAATTGGGGTACATAAAGAATTATGAAACTTTTCCTGTATACTCTGTTGTAGTGTTTTGTTGAGATATCTGGTTGCCAGCTGAAACAGCCATGATTTGATTCGTCGTGAGAACACAAATATTCATCATATTTCATGCTCCAAATTGTTTAATGATATCTACAAATGGAATAGTTCGAAAATTGAAACTTAAAAGTGCACAAGCTGTTTGTAGCATGTTAGCGAAATGAAGGCTTTCTTAAACTGCAGGCCAACATATAACTCTTTCTGACACAAATTAAGAGTATTCTCTCAAGCCGATTCTGCCGTTTAGGAGTTAAGATTTTTGAGTGATATTTAGATCGCTTCCTCCGAAAATGCATCAGATAGGGCAACGTTAAGCTACTGGTAATTACGTTTTTTTTGGGGGGGGAGGGAGCTGGTCCTCCCTTAGCACAAAATATCCCCAAGATGTCCTATTTAAGTCGCAATATCCCAGGACATACTTAGAATAACCTGAGTATTTGATTCTCAGATGTCCTGAGGACATAGTAAAATAACATCCTGAGGATGTCTTATTTAAGTAGCTAAGTTCTGGGATATGTAAAAATGTCCTGAAGATGTTGATTCTCTAATGTGTTGTGTAGATAAGTGTCTGATCCCTTTATAACAAACTAGCTGAATTATTTTCTGATTTAAGAAAATCTTAATTTTATTTGATTCTGAATTATTTATTTTAATGCTTTAATTTTGGGGAAAAACAGATGCTTCTGAATATTATTTAGTTTCAAAGAATATTATTTATTTCTTTTTATTTGCAATTTTGTCAAGCTTTGATTCATTGTGAAAGAAGCAGGAAAGGAGGCGGTTTTTGCTAAGTCATGATTTCGCGCGCTTTTTGTCCTTTAGAATGTTCTAGAAGAAATTTCTTTCATTGTGCATTGGCCTTAGGACAGGAAGTACGTGACAGAAAGGGTCAGAGGTTGCCCATTAACCTTCGATGTAATCATTCAGGTTTTGGCGATCGGAAGGTCCGGTTGTGGCTAAGTGAAGAGGGGCGCGCATGCGCGATCACTCTTATTTCTCATCAGGGTTGAAACGCAAATTTGTCCAATTAAGGGGCGATAAATGAAGGCATTGTGTGAACCCGTGTTTTGAAGGAGACTAGAAATTCGAGTTTGATCACTTTTGGGCCCGACTTTTCGAAGGGAGGTGTGGAAGTTAATTTTGGTGATGAATAAAGATAGTAGTTATTCCTCTAGTTCTGATACGACAGGGAACCGGCAGTTATGCTATCCGGCCGCCGACTTACTCTACACCCTTATCGGAAAAACCATGGACGATGTCTTTCGATCTTGTATTAGAAAAAACAAAATACCTCGCTTCATAGTCTACGATTTCCATGCGGGCAGCCGTGCGGAGCAGCAGGTCTCTTGCCTTCCAGAGTGAAAATTCTTCGTCAATAGAACCCAGTTATCCGGCCGTGTGTTTCGCCAAAAGTGCCAGGACAGGACGATGTCCTCTAAAACTTCGACTTGTAACCGAGGGGGAAGTGCCGTTCGTCGAAAGCCTGGAATCAGGATACGAGTTCTCTACTTCAAGATGTCTACCTAAGTCCTTTTTCTGTGTTTGATGTATGCCTATGAACTTTAAGTAAAGTTCCAGAAACTTCCTTGGAATTTAAAACCAACTTTGAATCTTAAAATTAATTATAAAGGACTAAATTGCCTCCCCTTTCCCCTTCTTAATTTACCGAGACAAACCTGAAAGTCTTCATATGAAATAATATAATATGTTTGTGTAATCATTCTTAGAACAGAAGTTGAATTGCAGATAATATGTTTCTTTTAACCTCTTAGAAATTACTGCAATAGTTCATGTTAAATTAAGAGTCATATAGTAGATTTGCTAATCATTGATTTAAATGTAACAAAAAAGGAAAATGATAAATTGAAGAATTCACCTGTGTCTAAAATGAACGTAACTAAAATAAGAAAACCTGTAACAAAAAAAGAAAATTGAGTTTGATTAGGATAAGATTTATTTTAATTGTTGAGGGATTTGAATAAACTTGTATTTTAAATCTGAAATCTATTACTTATGTTTTCTGAATATCTTTTATGTGTTTTCTTATATGTATTTGATTTTACATCTTGTTTATACGACCTCTCACGGCAGGTCCCGATGCTTTTACACAACGCAATCATAAAAGTTCCTTACACGATCACTAAAAGTGTGGAAATTAGCTAACTCTTAAAGTTTAGTTCTCCGTTGATATTTCGTTAGTTACGGTTTCACCTGTCTGTTTCTGCATTAGTTTCCTCCCTAAGAGGAAGTAGAAACACAACAAATGTTTGGGGACTTCGCCAATTTCATTACCCTGACCATATTCAAACTGCTTTTTCCGGCCAATGGGGGCATCAAACTAGCGAAATGAGATTGAGAAAACATAAAGAAATAACTTTCCACGAACTTTGTTCAGCAAATAAGTCGTTAAGTCAGAATAACAATTAGCCAAAAGAATCCACCAAGCAAATCCATACAGAATAACTGGGTTGATGTTTCAGTCACAGAAATGGAAGCATTTTTAGGTGTTTTATTGAATATGAGCCTAATAAAATTGGGAGAGGTGAAAGATTTTTAGTGCCACTACAAAAATTGAAGCCAAGTATTCAGTTTTTGCGATACATGCCGATATGAGAGTTTTTACAAATTTATTGGATGCTCCATTCGAATTTACTGAATACTTCATTATTGCAATTGATTGATCAGTTTGTGGGGGGGGGGTGAGATTTCCATCTCGGACTGTGACAGGCCAAGAAGAAAACTGAAAATTACACAATTTAACGCTGAAAGCAAAGAGGTCAGAGCGAAGAATGTGCCTCCTCTTCTGATAAGAAGAATGTTCAGGCACAAGAATCCAGATATTATGCAACACGTTATTGTTCTGAGATATAGCATACC